GGGGCCGTACCGGGGTTGAAGAGCACGATGGCGCGCAGACAGCCCAGCTCCGTCTTGTCCATGTGCATGTCCCGCATCTTGGACACCAGCTCCGTCAGCACCCTGCAGCGAGGCGGCGAGCACCAAGGCCCACGTCAAACCGTGCCCCTGGCCAGGGCCCCCACAAACTCCCGCAGGGCTTGGGGAGCCTGGCGTGGCCCCGCAGGGCAGCGGAGAAGGGTTAAGGCCACACAGGAGCTGCCCAGACAGGGCCTGACGCCTGCCGTGCAGCCCCGCGCAGTCTCACCCAGGGGAGGGCTCTCTCGGCCTGCAGAGGGTCTGCGTGCGGGCGTCTACTCTGAGACCCTGGACATGAAGAAGGGACCTCGTGGCAGCCGAGCCAAATCGAGCCAGGGGCCTGGACACTGGGGGTGAAGTCCACGGCCGCCGGACCTCAGCTGCAGACGGGGCAGGGCAGCCTGGGGCTCAGCCGGGCACCACCTCATAACCTCTCCCGTCTGTGCCCGCGAGAGCCCTTCCCGGGGACGCGGCTTCCCAGATCTCAGCTAGCCACCCGGGGGGCGCTATGTGCCCCCTTTCGTCACCAGCCACTTCCGGGGCGAAAAGCAACCCACCTACCCTCCCGGGAGCCATCTGTGGGGAGCCAGTGGGCCTCACGCCTGGTCCCTGCGCGGTGGCAGCATCCTGGACCCCCCTCGCCTATCTGCAGCACCCCACACAGCCCGGGCGCCCACCCTCAGCAGCCCTCTGCCAGCCCCAAAACTTGACAGTTGTGTCCAGTAAGTAGCAAGGGGTGGGGAGGTCAGGCCAGAGGGGAGCAAGGGGAGGTGGCCCTGGACAGTGCCCCCGAGAAGCCCAGGCCTTTCCCTGTGGGCCAGGGGTCCCAAGTCCATGCAGGATGGTGAAGGACACGCCTGCAGCACATGGGAAAGATTCGGGGAGCATGGAGGATGGGGTGGGGCGGCACGGGCTCGTGTCGTGCAGCCTCGGGCCGTCTGCTCGTGGGCGGGGGCTGAGAGCTGGGGCGGCGGCCATCTGTGTGACGGGCTGGGCCTCTCCGTGGCCGCTCTGGGCCACCATCGCTGTCACCTCTCTAGCAGCTGGGACCGTGGGGCTGTCAGCTCCGTGCGTGGCTAGTGCTGCATTGCTAAAGCGAATCCCAAAGGGATCACACTAAAAAAAGCTTCTGCGGACAATAAACACTACACTCACAGCCCCCTTCAGTGGGGTCAGCTTGCTCAAGGCCCTGAGGAGTCCTGCGACAGACACGTCCACGCACTGTTTAGGCCAGCGCCTGCCCACAGCACCTGGCCGCAACACCTTTCTGCACGTGGTGCCCCCCGGGGAGCTCAAGGGCCTGTCCCTCAGCTCTACCTGAACCGGTCCCAGAGCAGCGGTTTCTACAACTATCCCTCCCACCCCACCGGGCAAGAGTGGGGGCCTCTGCTCACCTGCAATTCAGGGCTCCCGAACTCGGGGGCTTGCCTCGGACCCCTCCCCTTGGCCTTCCCCTTTCCCCCTCACCATTCTTGTGCTGCAGCCCCCCACCCCACCCGAGGGACCCTGCAATGTCCCTCCCAGCCCCTCCCGCTCCAGCTGGCTGGAGCAGACGCCCAGGTTCCCAGGAGGCCCAGGCCCAGCGTGGACCCTCTGGGCTCACAGGCAGGGCCAGCCGGAGACAGGGGCGGGCAGCTCGTGTCCAGCCCGCCTGCTGGAACACGCACGGGCTGTGCTCGGGGACAGCAACCTGGATGGACACAGAGCCGGCGGCGGCTGCCCCCGGGGTGGCAGCGAGGAGTGGCATGCCCGGGGTCCAGGCACTGGGAGCAGCAGCTCAGATGCCGCTGACCACACGAGGCCCACACGGGCTGCGATGTGTCACAGTCACAGCCCAGAAGCGCCTGGCATGTGACTCGTGAGGGACACGGTGAAGCCGCGTCCGCAGCACGACGCACGCCCACCTTTACGGAAGCGCCCTCCCCACACGCGGCTCAGGGAACGGGAAGGAAGGGGGCGACCCGGACGCGGGACCGCGGGGGTCCCGTCTGTCCCTGCGCGTCTCTGCTCCCGTGTCCGCGGCCCCTGCAGACAGAACAGACGCCCACCTGTCGAAGATGGCGCCCACGCCGGCGCTGTGGGCGCTGTTCCGGTGCACGTGCAGCCCGGTGGCCAGGAGGATCCCGTCCTTCACGGCGATGGACCGGTGGGAGAAGGAGGCGATGAGCAGCTCGTTCCAGCCTGGTGGGGGACGCCGCGTCACTCGGCTGTCTCCGGGCCCGCGGGCCGCCCTTCCCGACCCCCGCGCGCCCCCCCGAAGGCGGCGTGTGCCCCAGGCCACCCGAGGGGCTCCGCGGAGCCCTGACCCCAAGACGGCCGCCCAGGAGAGAGGTCCCTGGGCACCTACGTTCGGGAACGCCTCTGTCTTCCACAGCGCACACGGCACAGTGAAGGCCCTGAGCAGTCCCGCACAGAACGCTGGCTGCGTGACGCGGGCCCCCCGAGCGCGCGTGCCCAGGGCTCGCTTTCTGCAAGCGCAGGATGCTGGTGCCCCCGAGAGTGTGGGGGGGCAGGGTTCTGTGTCTCTCTGGGGTGGCCACGATAGCAAGCACTCAGAGACCAATGCGTGTGACGCGGAAGACCCCAGGACAGTGAACTATGGAGCTAGACCAGGCGTGTCAGAGCCGCAGGCCAGCCCGATGCTCCCGGCACATGAGCACGGCCAGATCGGAGCAGGATCGGGGGGCTTAGGCCAGAGAAAGGAAACAATGTCCGTGCTCATCCTGTGGCCTGGAGGACATGACCCCACCTTCTGCGAGAACAGCAACAGCGATGCCCACAGGCCGCACCCCGGAGTGCCCAAACGGATCCAGGCTTGAGGCTGACGAGGCTGAACGCGTTACCCCTTTAATCCCGACTGCAACCCAGCAGAACAAGAGCCAGCCCCGTGTTACGGAGGGGGAAACTGAGGCCCACGGAAGGGAGGGGGCTGCCCTGCCACACGGCACGTCAGGACGCCCGCCCCGACGCCCCCCGGCCACTCACCGGCCCTCAGCAGGATGACCTGGTCGTCCAGCGGCAGCTCGGAGAAGTGCGGGATCCGCTTGGCCCACTCGACCAGGGTGAAGAGCTGCTTGTCCGCTGCTTGGCAGATGTTGGTGACGGGGTCGTTGGGCTAGGCGAGGAAGGGCATCATGGTGAGTGCCACGTGGACGGCACCGTGGCCCCTGGCCAGGCCCCGCTGTATCCGCGTGGGCTGAGTGACAGCCCCCAAAGGTGCCCACGTCCTAAGACCCGGAACCTGTGAATGTGCCACTTCACATGGCCAGAGGGACTTTGCACATGTCGAGTCAAGGATCGTGGGACGGGAGAGGACCCTGGGTGACGCGGGTGCCCGGTACGTCACACAGGTCCTTTCTCGAGGAGGCAGGAGAGTCAGAGAGAAGGGTGAGGGAGGAGCAGGGGTCGGAGACGAGAAGACGCTGCTGCCCCGAAGCCGGAGAAGGGGCCGCGAGCCGGGCGTGTGGGGCCTCCAGCCCCGGGAGGGCACGGAAGCGGGTGTCCCCGGGAGGGGCCAGCCCTGAGGACAACTGGCTGCCCTCCTGTGGGACTGATCTCGACCTCTGACCTCGGAAGTGCAAGAGCAGAGATCGGTGTTGTTTAAGCGTTTGGTCTGTGGTCACAAGGGCATCCGACCTGAGCCCCATTTAGTCCCACACCACGGGTAGCAGGTCCCAGTGAAGCGAGACGTGGAGGTGGGTGTTAGGGCTGGGGTGGGACTCTCATGGTCACAGCGGCCAGCTGACAGGCGGTCCTAGCTCCTCCTGCGTGGTTCCTTCCTACCAGACACAGAGGTGGCACAGAGGCTTCTAGCCAGGAGGGCACGCTCCGGTCATTCTCACAGCTGAGGAAACCCCGGCAGGCCCCAGGGCGCCCTGCTCCCAGCTCCTGGCCGGGTGGCTTGGATGGCGGGCCCTCTGGGTCCTGAGGGAGGGGGAGGGACCGGCACACCGGGAGGCTGCGGAAAGCCCTCGTTCCGGGAACCACGACCAGGGCTCCTGCACGAGCTCCCTGACAGAAACCCCCGGCCCGTGAGCATCACGCAGTCTAAACACTCCAGGCCGCGTGAAGGGCCAGCTGAGGGCTCTCTGGGGAGGCCCAGTGACAAACTGGCACTGAGGCCACCAGGTGGGGCAGGGCTGCCAGGCCGTGCTGAGCGGGACATGGAGAGGTGTCGGGTGGGGCCACCGGGGCACAGGGGGCCAGAGCAGCCCGGGGACCCCCGGTGGGAAGGGGCGGGCCCACGTTCCCTTTTCTGTCCCCTCACAAACCTCTGGGGACACGGCCTGGACAGCCAAGCACTCCCAGGAGCAGGTCCTGTGCTCAGGCTGGGACATCACGTGCCCACAGCCGGCACCCCTGTGGGCACTCACCCCCACCGTCTGTCAATGACCGGCAGCTGTGGGCAGAGGGTGGCCTACGCAGGATCCCTGGGCCATGCGTGTGGCACGCCCGGCAGCTAGCCGTGCCCGAGGCCAGGGCCAGGCTCCACTCCTCAGAGCCCCGGTCTTTCTGTCGCGTGGCTGTCTCTCTCTCCGTGCTACAGGGCAGCCCGTGAAGCGGGGGGCCCGGGCCCGGTGTGAGGGGGACCGGGCCCAGTGGGGTGGGCCACAGCGAGCCATGCGGGGAGGCGGGGTGTGGGGCACACCTGATGAGTGCCCCAGGCTGACACCCCAGGAAACGGGCCTTCCCCTGGCCACTGGCCAGCGGCCCCTTCAGAGCCCCTGAGGGGCCCAGAGCAGGCCCGGGGGACAGGCTGTCACCCTAAGCCTCTCCCAGACAGGCGAGGGCCTCAAAGGTGGGCACGGAGGTCACCCGTCTACTGTGCTCCCAGAACAAGTGAACACAGGATGTGGGGGCTGGAGCTGAAGGCTATGGGCTCTGCATGGGGGGTACAGGGCGGAGCCTGGGGCCCTCCTGCGGGGGAGGGGCTGGGAGAGGTTCCGGCTCCATCTGCCGTGTGGTCGCCAACAAACACTGGACTTCTGGGAACCGCGGTTCTCACTCAGACAAATGAGCCTCGTTCAGCAGACGTTCAACGAGCTCCCACCGTGTACCTGGGCTGCAGGGACAGCCCCTGTCCTGGGAGGCGATGGCAGGACCCCTCCTCCCACAGAGGCTCCAGGCTCCCCAGGGCCAGAGCAGCCGTCCCGCGTGATGCTGGGTGAGGCCCCCTCCTGGCCTGGGGCCCAGGCCACCCCACAGGAAGCCACGGTGGGAGGCCAGACATGGGGAGGCAGGTACGTGCCAGTCATGGGATCCCGGGTGCTACCTAGGAGTGCCCTGCACCTGCCAGCTGCCTGCCTGCAGCCACAGCCACCCTGCCCGCTCTGAAACCACAGGGGAGCAGCCTCCGGGTTTGCTTTTCTAAATAGAGTCCTCACAAAATTAAGAGCTGGCGACCCCTCTGTCGATCTCCCTGCTTTCCTGGACTTCCTGCTCAATCAGGAAACCCTCGCGGCTGGCAACCCTCCGCTCCCGGGACGGGAGAGGCAGGACAGGCGGGCCCGGCACTGCCCGCGGCCCCCAGGGCAGGGTCACTGTCCGTGACGGGAGCTGGCAGGGAGGGACCGTGCAGACGCCACCCTGCCTCCTGGCGAGGAGGGACACTTCACCCGCCACACAAGCCACCCGGGGAAGGGAGCGATCGGGCTCCGAGCCCACCTGCCTGGGGCCAGGCCCACTTCGGCAGGGGCACGAGCGGACCCAGGGGAAATGGGCTCCCTGAGGAAGTGACACCTTGGCGGAGCCTGAAGCCTGACAGCAGCACATGCAAGGCCCCGGGGGCGAGGTGGGGGCCGAGCAGGGGGGACGAGCAGGGGCTGAGCCGCTGGGAGCGGGGGTAGGATGAAGGAGAGACAGCGGGGTGCCTCGGGGCCGGCCACGGGGCTCTGGTCCCAGCCCTGAGCCCACGCGGGAGACACAGATGAAGTCCGGACACGACACTGCCCGCAAGCCGGGGGCAGACACAGGCCCCCGACACCCGCCGGACAATGGGCCAGCGACGCAGGACGCGCGAAGGAAGTGCCGAGCCCCAGGGGGCACGCCACATCCGCCGGCCCCCGACACTCGGGGCCTCCCACCCAGGGCGCTTCCCGGGGCCAGGGATCCCCCGAGCAGCCCGGGCCCTGCCGCCCCAGGGGGAGCCCGCGCAGGCTGGCACTCACCGAGCTGGGGTTCAGCCCCATGTTGGCCTCCACGTACGTCTCAGTCTTGGGCTCGACCGCCAGCTCGGCCTCCAGAATCTTCTCCACGGGCATGTCCTCGTTGGCGCTGCTCGCGGGCTCCGCCTCGGCCTCACTGCGGTCCTTGCCCCGCTGCCTCTCCTCCTGCACAGCTGCAGCGGGGGTGGCTGCTCAGCCCGGGCAGGGGCCAAGCGGTGCCCGCTGAGCCAGCGCGCCCGCGCCCGTCCCCCGTCCCGAGCCTGGCCTCTGGGTGGTCGTGCGCTCTGACAACACAGAGCACACCCACCTCTCGTTAATTCACCCAACTAACGCTCACGCCAGCTCCCACCCGGGCCGGGCACAGGCACAGGCCAGGGCCAGTGGGGCCCGGCCCT